TTATTATATTAAAGATTACGATTGTGATTTGATTTAAAAGCAACCTTCCCCGCATTCCAATCGTCATTCCCGAGATCGCACTCGGTCCATATCCCTGGCTATGAGGATTGAGTTCCTTGGCCTAAATTTAAAGGACCAACGGGCGTACGGTTCGGTATAAGAGTCATAGTGTGCCGTATACAAGTATTATAGTATGGCACACTGACCTAATTCCGTACCCTTTTTAGTGCGTCCGACTGTCTCTCGTAACCCTCCGCAGGGCGAGACGATCGGGAGACACATCCGGTGTCAGTTACGTTCTTCCGAGGCCTCCTCCTTAACCCAGAACTTCCCACGTAATAAAAATCCTGAGGCTTGGACGTAACATAGGAATTAATCAACTATTAGGTGTTAGTTAATGATTACTTTTATAAAATTTTCTATTATTTTCATTAAATACCAATTCGCTGCCTGCATTTTAACTGGCATTTTAGTCTTGTAAGGAGACGGTGGGTTCTCACTAGAAGGGTGATTTTCCGATCCAAGGGGGAATATACAAAAATCTCGTTGTGCGTATCTTAAAAGCACATAAATGGAGGAATACCGAATAAATGGAACAATTTGAGCTTATCATAAAACCAATTTGCTGTCTGCATTGTAACAGGCACTTTACTCTTGTACCGTTGTTATAATATGTATCTAAATTTGTTGATATATACTTGTATTTCTTAAACCGTTTCTGTTACACGAATTTTGATGTATGATATTGAAAGCACTTGACAAGCACATAGTTTTACTGTACTAATTTTTTTTATTTTGTATATGATTTAATAAAGGAGGTGCTAACTTAACGATAAGTCAGCACCCCCAAGGTTAATCGCGATTTTCTGCTTAACTGTTCGAACACAATAATTGGCATTAGGCACATAATTAGCACATAAGTAGCACTTATACTCTGGTATAGGTGATGTTTTGAATTTTTATGGAGGGGGTCCTGCCATTTCTCTATTATATGCCATATAACCAGCTAACATGATTTTTTAAAGGAATTGAAAGCATGTTTACGTGAACTCTCCGTAGTAGACAACACATTGGAAGCGCTCGGTGTGCCAAAGAATTATCGAATGCTGCGTTTCTTGATAATTCGAATAATAATTGGATGGATTGCAACCTTGTTTATTAATTTAACAATGAGCATTATTCATGACTTTATTCTTATGAATATATTGCCCATTTTGAGTATATTATTAAAAATATTTTTTATAATTTTGTTGCCAACTGATAGAGGTCATGTAATTACTTTAAGTATTCTGATCTGTGGAACTGTTCTTGGGTTAGTATATATGTCAACAGTTAGTTTGTATTTGATTATTTATTGACGAAATTAAAATATGGGTATGTATTGTACGCGGTTCAATTTTTCTAAAAGACAACTGAATCGATAATATTCTCAATTCAGATACACGAGCTCCAGATTTCATCGAGTCAATGAACGATTACAAGTACTTTATTCTGATCTTCTCGAAAATAATTACAATTGTAGAAGCCAAAACAGATTTATTTTAGTCCGTCAACGGATAGCAAGAGCTAAATATCACAAGCAATATGTGTGGATTTTAATGTAATTGTTTAATAGAATTACTGCATGTGTATATAATATTGCGCATTATTTTGTGCATACACTATTCCTCTTTTTAAATTTCGTAATGTACCGAAAAATATGTAGGATATTAATAAAATTTTTTTGAAAGTGTATATCGGTTCGAAAGCCGAGGTGTACTTTAGTCACGTAATACTTTTAGATAAATGCGCCTAAAAGATATGGCAGTTACTTTCGCTTACCTTTCATGAAATTATATGATTTTATCACAATAAAATTTCTTCAATTATTCTGCATATAGCAGAAGATAACATTAAAAAGTAAGATAATGTTAAGAAATCAATAATTAATGAGACATTTTATACTTCCACATATTCCTGATATCAACATAAAATGTTGTAAGTGTAAAAGTAACTCGTAAGATATTCATTTTTTGATATCTTTATCTTGATTTTTGTAGAATAATTAGAGAAATCATATTATAATATACATAAATTTATAAAATTATATCCGAAGAAATGATGACATTTATACCCGAGAGTAAAAATTTTATATATGATTATATATGAATTGTTATGTATAATCGTATATGATATTTGTCTCTATATGACCATACATGGACATACATGATTACATATGCCGCTATACAGGGTGATTCAGAACGACCTCGTGTCCTTGCAAAGACGTGTTCCTGACTGAATTCTGAGACGATTTTTCCTTTACGAAAATTTTATCTGACCTTTACTTTTTGAATTATTAAAAGATAAAGTTAGCAAATTACGATCCGCGAACAGAAGGTAAGCAGGGGCGGCGCACTCACCGTCCGACGCGAACGAACAAGAGGGGCACTCATTGCGATCAAGGACATAAAGTTATTCTTTAATTTAAATTAATTTGTTTTCACGACACACCACACACACACACACACACTCTCTCTCTCTTTCTCTCTCTCTCTCTCTCTCTCTCTCTCTCTCGCTTACCTTGCAGAGATTAGTTATTTTTATACTGCTTTAACTTGACGAAAATAGATTTCAATGGAAATCGGAAGAACTGGAAAAGCAATACGAAGACTCTTGTAACAAACTAATATCAAGTAATAAAACAGAAATTCGTCTTTCTTTTAAAAATATGTAGTACCTAAACACTTTCACTAGTTGTAACACTTTCATTAATTTAATAACGCATTTAATCGACATTTGTTGACACCACACGGAACAATTTACGAACGATTCTATCGATTTATCGTTATTAATGAATAGTGGTTAATTATTTATTTCTAAATCACTTGTGAGAAACGCGTTACATACTCAACCCGACATGATCCGACGTGAAGACTGAGACTGAGCTCGATGACAACAATCAAAGAGGTTATGTTTTTACAAATCGACATGAACAGCAGTATTCATTAATAACGATAAATCGATAGAATCGTTCGTAAATCGTTCCGTGTGGTGTCAACAAGTATCGATTAAATGCGTTAGTAAATCAATGAAAGTGTTACAACTAGTGAAAGTGTTTTA